TGCTGCAGTGGCTGTAGATAGCTTCATAGTGCTGCAACTTAACCCCTTGTGCCACCAGGGAGGCCCCAGGTATTCACAATTTTCCACCCTAGAAAAACAATTAAAAATTAACTCAAAATACATTGGGATAAAATTATGAGCACATGTAAAATCTATAACACAAAATTCCACATGTGTTTCCCCCAGACATCCATATGATTCCATACAGTGGCTTCATACTCAGTGGCCACCATGCAGCTTTCAGCTGTAAGTGAATCCCATTAATTGTAACACCTGAATAAAGCAGCTGCTTCTGAGCTAAAGACACTGATGCTTAACGGGATGCACACCCAATTCTCTAGTGTGTATAAATTTTCAAGAGATGCCAGAAATTGCGATTTATTTTACATGACATTTCTCAATTTTAAAATTTTGGCTCATTTTATTTTTTGGTCCACAAGGCTCTGTGGGTCAAACAACACACTTTTGTCATTTCTCAAATCTCTGCCACATCAAGTACATATATATATATATATATATATATATATGAGTCCACTGCACTGTTATTCAGATCAGCAAATGAAGACAAAATATGACAAAGTCTTCCTGAAATTCACAAGTTTAGTGAGAGATAGACCATAATGTCACAGAAGAGAGTGAAAAATACCATAGCAGTGTATGGAACTCAGGACTTAAATCTGGTGGTTTAAGTATTTGCTCAGGCCCATGTTAAAACAAACAAAAAACCAAAGAACCCCATTATTTGAAAGTTTGGTAAATGGAGGACTCCTAAATAGATGACTCTTTTGTTTAACAAAACACCTTAATGGATTTGGGGAGCAGGAGCTATGCACAGTTGGGGCCACAGCTTTGCACAGTTTCAGGGGGACCACTCCTAAGGTGGCCTGTGCAATTGGCACCCCCTTGAGTACCATTCAGTTTGTATTCTTTGTGAATAGTACCCCCTGGGATTGTGCAAGTTTGTGATTCTGTCAACAAAGATAGGCCTGGAGTCTGGACTAAGAAGAGGATTGAGAGCTAAATCCTTCTACATAATAAAGTAACAGGAATTTTAAGTCTTTGCCTAGTAGGCGGAGGCAGGAGGGTGGAGAGGTGCCTATAATAGGGAGTCAAAAGGATTTGGAGAAAAGACCTTTAAGCTGAGGATGGACCAGCAATTTGGCAATAGCTTGGAGATTTATGACTCTGGTGAGAGCGTCCCTGTAATTTTTTTAAAAGAAACACATAAAATCCTCTTCATCATCTCTAACCTTCAGGAGACAATGACAAAGTCAAACAACTTTTCATTTGGCATCAAGCGTAGCTTTTGAACCTATTGTGCATGCATCAGGAGATAACTAGGAAAGAGTCAATGCCCAGACTCACCTAGCAACACTTGGTTAAACATGCAATACTATAGTAACTTGCTTTTTTTACTGTTTTTCTTCATAAAGCTCAGAGCACTTGCACTTTTATTTCCTCATTTGTTCTAACATTCCAGTGTGGGAGGGGCAGATTTATGATAACATTATTTATAGATGGAGAAATTGAAATAGAGATTAAATCGCTTACTCAATGCTGCATAGTTGGGGTGGTGGAGCCCACACTGGAATTTGGTTCTCCAAGCTCTGCCACAAAGTGGAAAGATCAGGGTTTTAGAATTAGAGGGATCTTTGTTTGAACAATCCTGATTTCTGCCCCTTAATAAGAATGTGGCCTTAAGTCAATTACTTCACCTAAGTCTCAGTTTTTTTCTCTTCAGTAAAATTAAGACCATAAAACCTCATAGCAATGTAATGAAGATTAATTTAGAAAATGAATGTAAAGCCCTGCCATAGAGAGTAGTTCTCAAATAAGATTAGTTCTGACCTGTATTTTCTGGTTAAATTTCAGTGCAAATTTACAGTTATCAAAAAAGAATCCTCCATTAAGAACACTTTTTCCTCCCTAGACTCCTCTCCCACTGAGAGCAAAACAGGAACAAAAACGCTTCAATATGTTATTCAATTCAATGGCAAGAACTTTTGTTTTAGTAGAGTTATTTCATCGGGGATAATTAGAAAATATAGACGTATGTGGAAGACAAGATAGTAGAGGGAATTGGTTCTAAAACTTGAGACTGTATTAGAATTCCCTGGCCGGCCTGTTAAAACACAGATTGCTGGGCTCCATCCCAGAGTTTCTGATTCATAGAGTCTGGAGTGGGGCCTAATAATTTGCATTTTAAAAATTCACCAGTGATGTTGATGTTGCTAGTCCAGGACTACAACTTGGTGATGCAAAGTAAGGTTAAGTGAAAGTCTGGGGGTGGGTCTCAGCAGTTTGTGTTTTAACAGGTCCACCAGGTAACTGATGCATGCTTAAGTCTGAGAACCACTTGGCAGATGGTTCCGGTCCCAAATTCTGGCTGTACCATTTGCTAGTTAGATGACTGGGTTCCTTGACAAATCTCTATTACTTCTGTGTCCCACAGGGAGCTTACAACGGGGTTCAGGATTCCTCTCACTATCCCTCTGAACCCTTGGTGGAGAGAGAAGTTAGTGAATCCTGCCAACTGAGGTTCTGTTTTGTTTTGTTTTTTTTAAAGGTTTATTTATTTATGCATACAAGAGTTGGGGTACAGGTCAGAGATGCGGGGTGGGGTGGGGAGAGGATTCATCAGAGACAGAGCCCGGAACAGAACAGGCAGACTGACTGAAATCCACTGCTGAGGGGAGCGGTGGGTGAGACAAGAGAGGTCTGCTGCACCATGTCGGTTGCTCCCTTGCCAGGGATCAAACTCCTGCTGCAGAGGCTGCAGACTGCTTCACAGTGCGGTGCTTAACCCCTTTCACCACCAGGGAGGCCTTTCTGTTTTGTTTTGTTTTGTTATATTTTTTTTTTTTTTTTTTTAGTCCAGAGCTCTTTTATTTCTTTTTGCACACCTATCATGCCATGAATTCATAGGGAATAGGTTCTAGCAGCTCAGGCTCCTTCCCATTGGTTCTCACAAAGTGTGCTTCTCTAGGTGGAGCAGGCTGGCGCTTCAGCTGAACCCAAGTACCCTTCTCTTTGGCTTCCTTTTTCTTCTGATCATTTTCTTTCACACGTTTCAGGAAGCTATCTCGGCTCTTAGAGTGCTTAATGTGCTCAATACGAACATTAATTCTCTTTGCAAGAATCTTGCCCTTTACTTGCTTGTTTACAACAATGCCAACTGCATGCTGGGTAACATTATAGACTCTTCCGGTTTTGCCATGGTAACATTTGTGGGGCATTCCTTTTTGAACAGTGCCCATCCCCTTGATGTCAACAATATCACCTTTCTTATAGATTCGCATGTATGTGGCCAAAGGAACAACTCCATGTTTTCTAAAAGGCCTAGAGAACATATAGCGGGTCCCTCTTCTCTTTCCCTTTGTGTTAGTCATTTTGGCGACTTACTGGAAGATGGCGGTTCCGGCCGAAAGGAAGGCTTTGTTATATTTTTAACTTTTACACTCTGAGGCTACTTAAACTTGGGTTTGAAGGAAGTAACTACAAACAAATCTGCAATCACAAAAATAAACAAGATAGTGCTGTAAATAAAAGAGCAAAGACATTTTTACATCTTAAATTTGTAATAACCAGTTCTAAACTATTTCCATTTTCCCCTATTCTTAGAAAATTTAGAAAGTCTTCCTCCCCCACAGTTTTAAGAGCTGCTTGTAAATTTGTTTTGCAGATAGTGTGCATGCTGAGAGACTGGTCTCATATACAGAAACTACCTCAGATGTTTGATGTATTCCTGATTTTGTAGCTAAGGAATCCCTTTTTCCTTTTTCTTTTTCTTTCCCTGCTTGACATTTGACTCTGTGGGTTCACTTGCTGTCTCAGCTCATAGCATCACAAGTACCAATGATACTTCTAGGACTTTTTTTTTTTTTTGTTCACCTACTTTCATTTCTTCTTTGCACAAACCTGTACTCTTTATTTCTTCAGTTAACATTTCCTATTGCCTATTGCTAATCCACAGTTTTCCAAATTACCCCCTGCTACAGTAAGTGCATTGCAAGAAATTGTTCCTTTTGTTGGTGAGGTAGAAGAACTGTTGACTTTGCATGCAATCCTGTGTTGGTAGTAGGTACACTCAAGTTTTCATTATGCATTTTTATTTAGGATGTCTACAGCAATCCTGATAAGGATATGTACACACACACGCACACACAGACACACACACGCACACACGCACACACCCTATATTACAGATGAAGAAACAGAAAGCTTAGAGTAAGGTGATGCAGCTTGCCCAGGATGGAAAAGTAAAAGTAACAGAATCCAGGCAGCAAGATTCTAGAGTCCCCTAATTTTAGGCCTCTGCAGAAGTTTCAAGAGAAGATGGAATATAGGGATAAAATCCGGCTCCTGTCCTTAAAGAGTTTAAAATTTTTGCGAGGAGCGGATGAGATGAATACACACAACAGGAGTTAAAATAAAATCAAGAGCTAACGTTTGTGGTATGGAGTTTGGTATCTTTCCCTCTGTGAGATTGCAGATAAAAGCACCAACTTCAAAGGGTTTGAGGATGATTAACTCAGTTAAGCACCCGAAGCCTTCATACAGTGCCTGCCGTGTAGTAAACATTCAATAAATGTTAACTATCATTAATTTTAAAAGGGGGAGCCTTCAGGGGAGCGATGACTGGAGAGAGCCGGGAAGCCGGGTGTACTGCGGGGGACTCTCGCATCTAAGTTCTCCGCACTGAGGCGGCAGGCGAAGACCAGGCGGCAGCACAGGCGGCGGCCGGAGCCCGGGGGTGGGGGGGGCGAGGCGCGGCGGGGTGGAAACGGTTAGCAGCGCCCCGCCGGGGGTGGGCTTGCGGGCCCCGAGAGGAGAAGCTCCGCCCCCCCTCCCGCGCCGCGCCGCGCCGCGCCGCGCCCCGCCCCGCCCCGCGCGGGAGGCCCCCGCACGCCAGCCCGCGAGCAGTTCCGGTGCCAAAACCCTTCCCTCCCCCCGCTCCCCCGGAAGTGCTTTCCCAGGCTCGGGCTGGAGAGAGGCCTGGTAGGCACAGCCGCTGAGGCTTGGTCGGCTCCGCGTAGGGGCTGCAGCCCGCGTCGGAGCCCGGGGGTCAGCGTCCGGCCGTCCGCGCCCTGCCCCTTCCCAGCGCCCGGGCCGACGGTGAGTGGCCGGGGGCGGCCCGGGACGGCGGCGCCCCGCGTCGGAGCTGGCGATCTCGGGCCCCCGCTGCCCGCTCCGGCTCCGGGCTCAGCTGTCGGGGCTCGGGGAGGTGGGCTGTCCACTGCCGCGGTCTGCGCCGAGGCTGCCCCGCGGGAAGGAGCGGGCGGCGGGGCCGGAGGGGGGCGGAGCAGAACCGGGGAGGGGGTCCCCCGAGCTGTAGTTGCTGTTGGGACTCCGGAGTGGGGATGGGCTGGGCCTCTGTCCGTTCGACCCTCTGGTTTCTGCTCCCCGGAATCTTCGTGCCGTCTTCGGGATTTGGTTTTCTTGCCCGACCTGGGGCTGGGTACCTGGACACCAGGTTTAATCTGGGGCTCCCGGTCCCGACTTTCACGTTCTCTGGGTCTGTCCTGGGGCTCAGTAATTAGCCCGGGTCCCTGGGGTGTTGTCTCCTCAGTACCAGGGTGGGGCGATACGTGTGTAGATGTCGGGGATCTTTTGCAAGACTTTGCATCCACACCCGCTTAGGGGTTGCCCAGGATCGATTTGGACTGCGCTCGGGACGGGTTTTGGATATGTAGGTCAGTGTGGCACCGGCGAGCCTCCCGTGATCTTTTTACCTACTTGAAAGCTTGCTCAAGCTGCCGCTGAAGTCACTTAAAAAACCAACCTGCTGGAGTAAAATCGGTAGTTCAGATAAAATCCCTTATTTATTTATTTATTTTGCAGACGTAAAAAACCATAGTTTTCTAATCTGCACTTCTAATTCCTGTGGCTATCTGAAGTCACAGTTTTTCATTCTGTGGTTGTCGCACGTATAGGTTACAGAGGGCGAAGAATTAAATCTCCCCGAGGTTTGTATACCTTCGTATTTGGAGCTGTCATTTTCCTTAATTTTTAAAGAAAAATTGTTCTCGGTTGCTCCTAGAAGTTCCTTATACTGTTAAGGTTGTAGCCGCCATGCAGAGGCTCACATAGGTAGGCAGACGTGTTTGGTGTATATATATTTTCGACTATGTATCTTAACTTCGATAGTGATGTGTCTACCTCTGATAAATGGAGAATCTTCTGTAGGAGAAAGTGATGTATAGATAGTTACTTTTAGTGAATAAATTTTAGGTAGTGAACTGCTGGAATATTTGTAAAGAATAAGGGTTTACCACCTTTCATAGTGATTTTTAAGTTCTGATCACAAGGGAAAGCAGTTACTGTAGATCTCACCTACCAGCAGATGACTGTTGTTTTTGCACCGTGTGCAAAGGTATACACAAGTGCAAGGTATACACAGACCACCTTTGTGAAGCCAGTGACACTTTCCTGCTCTTCTCATTTGTGCTTATATTAGGACTATACAGTAGCTTTTTATTTTTTTGTACTTATCTTTCTCTCCCACTAGGGGAAAGGGAGAATGAATTAGAGAAAATAGACTGAAGTGACGAGTTCAGTGAGCGCTCCTATTTCCTGAAAGAAAATTTATTTCAGAATTGTTGATCTTCAATAAACAAAGGGTGGATAATTTTTAAAGTCCCTGGAAAAAGTTGTGGAGGGAAGATTAATGGTTTCACTTTAGATTAACATAGAAACTACATTTTAGCCACTTAAGTGCTTAGTTATTTAGACCATACTTTTGGAATATTGGAATTGAGAGCTTTGGAAAAGGAGTTGGAATACTGGAATTGAAAGACTCTGGAAGAGTCAAGTTAGATATGATTATGAATTCATACTGAAGGAATGATAGTTAATGTGTTTTGAAGGGAAATATTTCAAGAATTGTAAGAGCAGAAAAAGATAATTGAGGAAAATCAGATAGCCTTAGGCATTGTGTATTTTGTTTATTCAGGTACATTCAATGGATACTGAAAACTTGCTTTGTAAATTTTATCATATTTTCAAGTAGATTCCACAGATATTGAACATTTGCTATGTCAGGCATCTAAGCTATGTTAGGCAACCTTGTCGGAGCAAATATACTGCCATAACAACATAGATTCACGTTTTGGTATTCATTTTTCTAAGGTATGTTTGAAATATTGGAGAGGTGAATTGTATTGTTTAAGCATATTAAACTTTTCTTCGAATTGGAGTTGGGTGTTGTGTGCTTCTGAAAGGCACTGCTAGGCATTCATTGTAGGATGCAAAGATTAAGTTTTTAATCTTTGGAATTTGAAAACTAGAAAGGGGTTGTAAGATAATTTGCATAGAGATTTACAGCATAAGGAATTATATGTAAATACATGAGTGGTTTGACCTAAAGTTTGGAGTTGTATGAAAGGAGTAAGTGTTCATTGTTAGCTGGAGTAAAATTTAGGAAGATGGTTCTGAAGCTGTTATTTATTGAGCATGTAGTGAACTCCAGGCTCTATGCTGCTTGCTTAATATACATGTTCTAAGCTTCTCAACAACATATAAACATTTTTCTTAATAATGTGAACATTGATGCTCAGGTATGTTAAGTAACTTGCTGTACTATGCAGCTACTAGATAACTTATTTGAATCTCCATTTGCCTGGTGCCAAAGTCTGTGTGTTTCTACTGCATGGTGCTAGCTCTAATTAAACTCGAGTTCAACATTGCCACAAGTAAGGCTTTTCTAAGACAAAAATGCAGTGGTTGGGATGAGGTAGATGGGGAAGGCTTCTCAAATAAAGGGAATGATGTGAACACAAGTGTTGTGGAAGTGGGAAAGTTCATAGCGTCTCAGAGAAAAGCTAGTCGATTGCATTACCTAGTCTATAAATTCATTTTTGGGAATAAAGAGCAGAGGTTTGAAAATAAACTTGGGGCTAGATTGTGGAACATCTAGCTAAATAGAGCATTTAATGCTCTATTTAGGAGGTCATCATTTGGAATAAGTGATTGCCATGGTCTAACAGTGAAGTGTGTAGAATGATTTCTTTTAGAAAGCTGACTTTCAGCATACTGTAAATAGAGGGTAAGGGCAAAGGCACTAGGAGGATTTAGCAGGTGGGTGGAAGGAGGGAATGCTGAGGAAAGTTTGGAGAAAGAAGTTGAAGATTACACTTATTTCAAGTGTGGGTGCTGGTACTACTGGAGAAATATGGGCAGAGAGGTGGATAATAAGAACATTTTTGAATAGGCTGAGGTTTTTTTTTATATACTTGCCAAACACTGGAAATGCCTAGGCACTTTTAGAAACGTGGGTTTGTAGTTCATGAGAGAGGTCAGTGCTAGGCATGTATTAAACATGGGTGTAGAGATTAATATAGATATACTGGAGAGGTGAAAGAACCAAGGGAAAATTTAGAGGGGAAGGAAAAAAAAACAACAACCCTGTATTTTAGATGGCATCTGTTTAAAACTGAAGGAAAAGGACACTGAAATGATGATTTTATATAATGGGCAAAAAAATTGAGACTGTACTACTGTCTGACATCGTAGATTCAGATGAAATAGAAATAATCTTATCATTAAAAAAATTTGGGAAATAAAATTTTCTTACCATTGAAAGCAAGAATTACCTAATTCGTAGAAGATGAACATTACCCTAATTCATAGAAGATGAACTATTTCAGACTCATTTAGTCCAGAGTGTCAGATTTTGGTTACTTTAGAGCTGTTTGGTCATTTCTTTGGGGCATTTGTTGGCAAGTGATATATGAGGACTTGGAAGCAGATCTCTGATATACAGTATTATGTTTATGTTTGACTTTCATTTTGGTTTCAATATTAAGATACCTCTGAATATTCAAATATGATTTTGTCCTGTCACTACTGGCTACTAATAATGTCTCTCATGGAAAATGGTACTATGTATTTTTCTTATAACTTAGTACTTCTGACTTACATGAATCGTCTTGTCTCAATGTTCAGATTATCCTAGAGGGATAGAATAAGATATTTTTATTATCATGTAATGAACATAAAAGTGATCTTAAGTTGGAAATTCAGAGCTATGAATTTATAGGATTTCATGTGTTCCTGTTTCTATATTTAAATAGGGGGAACCTGCATATTCATGTGTAAAAGATTGTAATAGTTTGAAGAATGGGATTTATTGAGAGTTGTAACTTTTTGAGGGCAAGTTTATTATTGTTAGATTGAGTTACTATGGAAGTGTTCAGATCCTTCTTGAGGATTAATGTGTTCCTTTTGTTTTTCAAGAATATGTTTTTCACTATATCACAGGCACTTGGGAATGTCTGAGAGTCCTGCGTCAGTGTTGTTGGAGCAGGGGTTTTGTGTGTGCTTTGTCTGGGCTAGTTGGCTTAGTTGCAGTGAGCCTGGTATTAATGAGGCAAAGGTCAGGAGTTCCATTTAGCTTCAGTCTGAGTGCTGGCCAGGGAGTACACCTCTCACTCCTGCCAGCTGCCTTGGAAATTCCTCGGTTGTCATTGGTCACAAAGGTGAATGGATTAGGATGGATCTTTATACCACTGGAAGAGTATTAGAGGAAACTTAGCATAATGGTTAGGAACTCTGACTCTGGAATTAGATAAACCTGTGTCAAAATTCTTGGTCTGTGACCTTGGGAGAGTTCCTAAACCCCTCTAAGCCTCTATTTCCTCATTATTGAATAGGTTAATATTTGGTTTGGGCATGTCCTACCATTGCTTTCTTTTTCCAAGAGGGAGTTAGCTGTTTAGGCCTGTGTGTCCCAAATGCTGAACTATAAAGTGGTATCAGTCCATGACAAAGTTTCCACTTATCTGAAGTGAATGAAAAGTTCATAAACTAAAAAAAAGTTTATAAAACTAAATCTATTGAATTTAAAAGATTTTTTTTTCTCCCCTAAAATGATCTTTTATCTCTTTGGTATAGGTATATTCTTTTGTGAAATATTGGTAGAGGTAATTGGAAGTTACTTCTTTTTTAAATGCCTTTGGTAGAATGAAAGTTGACAACTCCATGGTAAACTCCCCAATTTTTTGTTTTGTGTTTTTAAGATTATGGTTTTATGAAATAGGAAAATCTTTGGCTTAAACAGAACCAGAGGGATTGGGAGAGAGCACTTAACCAACAAATTTATGCATATTCAAGTTTGG